TAGTTCCTCTGCTGTTAGCCATAGTCTAAATAACTAATTGGTGATTTTATCAAACAATTCAGGTGACCAACCTTTATGTAAAAGACTAAAAACCCTGGTGGGAAAGCAAATTACAGTTATAATCATATAACTAATAATCATTGACTGTTTTACCCTCCATTTAAATGACTTGTTACTTAGCTATAACTTCCAGTTCTAGTTATCTAATATAATTGTCATCTCCTAGTAAACTTGCACACAGTGATTCCACTACGCTTAATCTCTGGTATCTTATATGAGTTTATCACATCAAAGAAATATTTTTTTGGTTTTAAAGTCTTATTCAAAATCAAGGCTCTATCTTCCTTATTGTTTTAACGACTTGCGCTATCTGATTTTTTTCCCCTTTTTTTTTTTTTTTTTTTACCAGATTTATCATGACTTAAATGCATTAGAGTTGATAGCACTACATCTATGTACAGGAAAAGAGAATTTCAAATATTACTTATAAGGAGTTCATAGTAATTATGATCTGCTTAAAAAGTAAGGTAAGCATTAAAGAAAAATATTATTTGGGTATCATTATTGGTAAAATTTTCTTATCATATTGTTTTAGCTAATATAAATGAATGGTGGTATAAATTAATTAGAAAAAAAAATAAAAGTTTGGGTTTTTATAAAATGTTAACCATGAGCTAATACCATTGCAATATCAAATAAATAAATTTCGATATACTTTTACACCTTTAACAGGTTGCTATGTCTGTCTTCTGGGTAGGAGAGGATTTATGTGTTCTGTTTTTATGATACATCCTGGTACTTTCTTGAGGCAATCTAACTTCCATTATGCTTTCCTTATTGCTTTCCTTCCCACTTAGGTCTCTAATTGAGAAAACTGTTCTAGAATAAGTCAAATCCTTTTTCATTTTTTTGTTGGATTTTTGTTTTCATACAGTCAGAACTCCTCAGCTGTTTGCCATAGATGTTCCTATACTGACATGTTTCCCTCTCTCTCTGAAACATTGAGTTTTGAGCTATAAGATGTCATTTTTTCTATAATTAAAACTTTAACTTATTTGTCTTTTCCCTGCTGTCTGCTTAAACCTACGCTTGGGTCTTTCTTTTACAATGGAACTAGACCCACTGGAGGGGCTGCAGAAACCAAAGCATTAAAGATGCAGATGCAGTAGAAAGAAGAATCCATCTTGTCTCTCAGCTGTGTCACTGTGCTGTGATGATAACAGAGAAGAGAAATAACGAATGAATGCAACCATGGATCCACCTGAGCCTCAGTGTAAGCTGAATTCTGTGCAAAACAAAAGCAATGTTCCTGTCTCAAAGCTCTGTCAATACTGTCATTGCATAGAAAAAGTTGGTAAAAAAAAAACATGTATTTACATAAGTGACATGGATGTTATCTACATGAATGTGTGGTTTTATTCTAACTACTTCCAGTCAAAACCTTTTCTTGTTTCTAGTTACAAATATTTTAAAGTTATCAAGAGAAAGCATTGTTTTTATACCAGAAATGAAATCATTTCAGAAACCTTTGTGTGGCTTCCCAGCAAAACTTTATTATGGTGCAGTCACAGCAGATGTTTCTGATGTCAAGAGAAAACTGTCCTTGATACACGCAAATAATATGTAAGAACCCCATTCTTCTTTATCACTGCTGCAATAAAAGCCAAAGATGATATTATACAGCAGAAACGATGTAATAGGAAGGAGCAGATATGAAATCATTTAAGTCTAAAGGCATAAAGATGAAACTAATGTAATGGTATTTACAACACAGTGTCCAAGAGTTAGATGGTAGCGCAGCAGATTTGCTTTCACACGCAGACCATTATGGTTGTTGCCACAAGGTTTTGACTTGATACTTCTACATGAAACTTTATTGAAAATGAGTTAGGGAATGAAATATTATACAATGGACATGGAGACAGAAGGGAGTAGGCTTGTCCCGATCCGATCCACGTATCGGATCGGGACGCCGATATTGGCAAAAAAATGCGTATCGGCAAAGCATGTAAAATGCCGATCCAGTTTTAAAAAAATAATGCGGTCCGTATTTTCCAGTTTCGCCGATTGAAACGATCCATTCCACTATTTTGCGCCAGTGTTTCCCTGTTTTGCATTTTTATTAAAACTTACAGTAATACTTGCACCTTTAACTGTTTACGGTTTTACTGTTCACTGTGCAATTTCAGATTGCTATTCATAATTTTGTCCAGTTTGTGTTTATCTCTTAATAAACAGGTAAGTTTGTTGTTACCAAGCATTGTGTTTTATTCAATCTCACCTAATTTAGCTGGCTAGATGTTATCAAGGGTACTAAAACCCTTTTCAACATGAGTCTTACAACTAAGGCTAAATACTTTAACTTAAACTTAAATACATGCTCGGATAGGCTGGTATCGGCCAGTATCGGTATCGGATCGGAAGTCCAAAAACAATATCGGTATCGGATCGGAAGTGCAAAAACCTGGATCGGGACATCTCTAGAAGGGAGATGAGAAAGGGAGAGGTGTTAAGAAGTAAGGGTAACGAGAAAGGTAGAGATAGAAAAAAGGAAGGAAGAAAAGAGGAAAAAACAGTGAAATAATGCAGAAGATATACAGTAACTCTTGTTTTTTTGGTAAAGATGCCTGTAAAATGCCTGTGTTTCTTTTTGCTTTAAACATTTCTAAGTTTTTCATCATTGTTTATGGCTTCCTGTATTCAGGTAATTTCACTTATGCCAGTGTAAGACTTTTCTCATTTTGATAGGTAACATCATCTGTGTCTCAGTTCAGCTTCTTCCTGTGTTAGACTTAGACTTAATGAGTCTTCCTCCCTCTGTTTCCCCTTATCTCGCTCTGCCCCAGCTGTTCAACTTTCCCTCACTTTTGCCTAGAATTTTCCAATGCTATCTCAATCCCTGCATCAGTATTTAGCTTTGATTCTTGCTGGATTCTTCTGTTATGCTTCTTGTTTCCATGTCCAGCTATTCTCAACACATAGATTCTCTTTCATTTTTGTTTTGAAAGATTCAGCTCATCTTTACCACTTTCAATATAATTCAACATAATTGGAGTTAAAATTAGTCCTGTTAATATCAGTGTAACAAATGGATAATGATGTTATTATTAGTATTGTTTTGTACCATGCAGATGTCTAAAGATGGGCTTCTTAAAGACCCCACATTACATTATTTTCACAGACACAAGCAAGGATAGGTATATATGTGATTAAAACTAGTTGGATATTTTTCCTTTTTCTGTTCACACTTTATGTCTTTTGCTTCATGCCTGCTCAATTTCTTCTATTCAAAAAAAATCCAATCTTTCAAAATCAAATCAAAGCTTTTCACACCAGTTCATTTTCATGTATATACTTACATTTATCAACCCACACTTATGTGAGTGAGCTCTTTTAGAAAATGTATTTTATTGTTGTTAATTTTCCTGAAGGCCAGGCTTTAAAGTAAGCAAGTTTGAAACCTTCTTTATGGCATGTTTTTCGTTTGGTCTTTTATTCAAAACTGAATGCAAAAGAGACGGGGATTGAAATGCAAAAACATCTGTTTTCATGTTCTTAAGGGTTTTCAAGCAACACATTTATATAAGTGTCTCACTACTGTTTTAATATTCCAAGAAGGTTTTCACAGTTTGTCACAATAAAACACAAACTTCAATGTATTTTAGGATTTTTTAGATAATCAAAATTATAACTCAATAAATAGTCTACTTGAGCCAAATTAAAATGAAATATAAATCGAGGAGTTCTGTGAAAGCCCTGTAGGATTGTTAACAATTAGATAAATCAAATTATAAAGACAGTAGTAAAGTTGTGGAGATGCTTTTGAGTATTTTTTTTACATTTAGTAGAGTACTCTAAATTCATAAGCAAACCCAACTAGATACAGACAGGTCAGGCATTTATGAAAGTGTGGCAAAAAGACAGTAAATATAAGAAAAGGCGATAAGTGGTCCTCCTCCCACAAAGCCATGGAGGAAAAACAGCAAACATGTGGAAATGGGAGGTGTTCTGATTTAATGAGACACTAAAACTTTTATAGCATTAGAGCACATTGCGTTCCTGCTTGCCATATGCTGGCAACATCTTGGATATACATTTCCTTCAGAAGTGCAACAAAGCTGCTCAAATGTTGGGGGAAATATGGACAAATGCAAAAAAAATGACATAAAAAAAATCTAAATGTGTTCCCTATTTTTTTGCTTTACATTTGTCAAAAATCACTAACTTACTAACTTACCAATTACGCACTACATTGTGTTGATTTCTTAGATAAAACCCCACTGTAAGACATTAAGATTTGCATCTGTGATGTTTATATCGAATATACTCATTTAAAAGTTGCTATTTCATGAAAAGATGATTAACTTAAGCAAGTATGGTGTTAAAACGTAACTAAATAGCTAGTTAAAAAATAGAAAGAGCGATCAGAAACTGCAGATGTCAAGACCTGCAGCACACAACCATCTAATCTGCTGATATTTGACAACATAAGCTTCAATCATGCTGGCGGAAACCCAGCAAATGTCACAGCGTCCTATCTAAACAGCCACAGGAATAAAGCACCATTAAATAAAACAAACAAATAAAAAAAAAAGCATGAGGAAGCAAAACTGAATTTATACAGTAGAGCATCAGAAGCACATATATTTGTTGTGTAAATGTGTAACTAGCACCCCTTGGAGACAGCAGCATCATGTTCGCCAGACCATCCTTATTAGCTTGTTTACATTCACAGCCCATCCCAAGCGGCAGCTAAAGTAAGGGATGCTGTCAGCCAGCGCGGCCTAATATACAGCCTCATCAGCAGATATACAATAAACAAGCAGGCAGTTGAACAAGGCTGCCTTTGCAATCTCTTTCACACTTCACCATCACATCAAAAGGATGCCTAATATGCATTATCCGATCAGCTTTGAGATCAATTATCATCATTCAGTCCAGACAAACAGATGTGTATTTATAACAGGGAGACCAGGGGTGTGAGTGAAATAGACACTAACTTTCTCTCTGAGCTCCAAGCAGATGTTCTGCTGATGCTGGCGGTCTCTGTGGTGCTCCAGCTCCTCCTGGTGGGCGTGTTCCGCCTCCTGCAGCGTGAAAAGGGCCCTCTCCAGAAGTTCCTGTTGGTCTCTATGCCATTGCTGGGTCACAACTCTTAACTGCATCCTGGTGAATCTCTGCATGTCCCACAATCGCTCATGCTGCCTCTGAAAGCAGGAGAATGAAATAGACACTTGCTATTAAACTAAAACTATTAACTTTCTTTGTCAGACTCATGTTGTATATCAATAAAGATAAACTAAGTACATTTAGAAAGTAGTTTTCAAATAATGTCTTTCCTTGTTAAGGAATATAACCAATTCATAACAATTTTGACGTATGTGAAAAGTAATCTGCCTCTTAATTTAATGCCTTGTTATGCCAACCTTAGTCATAACAGCAGTCGACTGTTTCAGATACTTTGCTTTTTTGTCAAGGATGTTTGACCAACTCTTCCTAAAATGGTTTAGTTTAATTACACGGATGTTTTCCAGCATAAATGCTATGTAGTACAGCTAAGGGCCTTTGTAGTTTCATTTTGAATATGGAAAGACACCATTTATACCGACTCGCATATTGTCCAATAATGAGAATTGAACTTAACTGAGGTAAGTGAGGCCTGCAGTACTTTAGGACTAGTTGAAGTTTATTTTTTTTTGACTTCCTGGATGACTTTATGGAGTCCCAGCAGCTAAGTGAATTATAGAAAGAATGACTGATTTTCTATATGGCGTGTCCTACTTCATGTTGTATTTTAGGTGCTAATAAAGCTTTTTCTGTCAGTTTCCAAAATGTGTTTATCTGCTGAAAAAACAAAATTTCCTTGCATTTCCAGTTTTTTTGGACCCTCTTTATGCATCATGTGGTAAAATTGTGTCATAAACCTCATGACCTTGGCCTACTTCATATCATTTCACAGCTTCCTTTGAAGTGATCTCTTCGTTTTTCAGATCTAGATGTGGAAGGTAAAATTTAACTAAAAAAAGTTCTCATATGTAAAACAACTGAGACAAAAAAAAATCAGGAAACAATAGAAGTTTGAAATGAGACAAGTATGAAGAGAGTAATCTTGTATAACATTAAAAAAAAAGTTATGAAAACAAAAAAAATAAGAAAAAAGAAAATTATAAAAACTGAGTTATTGCAGCAGGGTTCTTCTTGTAGGCTATTATGCACCTAATTCATGATGTGCTACAAAACATTCACAAACATTCCTGGATGATGCACTGTCTACATAAAAGGTAGCATTACCATTGGGACAATGCTGTGCCAGATCGAGCTCCGCTGGGGTATAAAACCATCCTTCTCTCCTGGCTGTGAAATGTTCAGAAGGAAAACAGTCCTTTTCGATGTGAGGGCTGCCCATAGCTATTCATCATTGTGTCAGCACTCTCAGAGGCTGCACCACTTGGCTGCCTCATTGGAACAGAGGGAATGATATTCATCTATGGGCTAATAGCGGCTAACTGACAGTGTGAAGGCATTAGACGGCTGACTGGTTTTATTGAAAATGAGTAGCTGACAGACCCGCCGTTGCAACAGAAGAGGCAGGATTAGTCAAGCAAATCCTGCTTATTATTGCGCAACTTTGAAAGATTCACCCCATATTACTCACTCTGCCTCATCCCCTCCTTCACTGTCCCTGTCTTAGGTTATTTGTTTTTGATGCACTTAGCATAAACACACAAATTAGCATAAAGAGAGTTGGTTATGTTTGCAGACACCATATATCCATGGTGTGGGGATGCATCAAGCTGCACAGAGTTCTGCTCCACACCCCCAAAGCATGGCAGGCAACACTTGGTTTCATTAAACCACATCTCATCTGTGAAATTCTGCAGCATCCACATGTCTTAGTTGTCCAAAACAAAAAGAATCAGAGGACGGAATCCAAAACTGTAATATAGTGAGCCGAACAAAAGTTATTCACAATTTATTAGTTTAAGCTGATCAATTAAGAGTGCAGTATTTTGGTTTCATGTGAAAGGTCTATACCATTAAGCACATAACTGTGAAAAATAAGTAGAACAACATTTCTGGGTTTTCTTATTTACAAATAAACATGTCAAGAGGAGGTAGTGGATTTATGTTTGCCTCCTGTTAAACTGATCAGAAAATAAAGTTCACTGCCAACCTTTTTTTTATCCAAATCTATATTAATAAAGCTGTCTTCTAAAGCTCTTAGATTTAAATTACAATAATAAGTGATCAGAAGGCAAATAAAGCAATATTCAAAACACTCAACATCCTAAGGAGTGAAGGAAAGGGAAATGAAGGAAAATGGAAGTAGTGTGGCCCTTCTACACCCAAACTGATAGACAAGGAAACCATTAATCAGAAAAGCAGTTGGGGGCCCATGTTAACTCTGGAAAAGCTGTAGGGATCTATATCTCTGGTTGACACAAAAATTATGAATCATGCATCTCATATATATGAGTTATGGGAACGATGCAAGAACAAAACCATTGATTAACAGCATTAAAAGTCCAGTTAGCAGTTTAGCAAACAAGGACATATGTGAAAGAAGGTGCTCTGGTCAGATGGGAGAAGACCTGAACTTTTGGCATGGAGTGCAGTGTCATCCTAAATGGATCCAATACAGGGTAAAGGGATAGAAAACCTTTGGGACGTCGCAAAAAAAGTCTTTTCAGCCTGCAGCAGCAAGATCTACAGTAAAATATGTTAGATAAAAGTAAACTAATTTTTGAAAATGGATCAAAGTCCAGACCTAAATGCTGAAGGCTTCAGGTATTTTGCAAACCAAAGAGTGCATTGTCTTGATCTGCAAACCTGAAACACCCAAAACATCTTTAACTATGAAATGTGTCAGTAGCCTGACGATAGAAGCACTTTACAATTTTCACTTTTATTTTCAAAAATATAATCAGGTATCATTTCCCTGCTAATGCGTTAGCAAAATGCTTTACCTTGGCCTACCACAATAAATCCAACAACATAGTTTATGTTTCACAGTTACAACTAGGAAAATAAATAAGGGATATGTATACTTTTACAAGAAACTCTAAATATCCCTTTTGTTATTGCAGAACTTTATGACATTGATATAGTGCATTATCATATGGCATATGACTTCTTGTAAATAAAAAAAATAGTAATAAACTAAAATGCCCGTCCAGCAGAGGGAGTTCTTTACACAAAGTAAGTCCTTCCATCTGTCAATAAAAACTCAGAGACTGTTTCAACTCTAAGTGAGCAAAACACTCATTAAATGCATGTCTTCATCATGCGCTATGCATTATACTATAACTGCAAATGTACAAATGATTAGAGTTATTTGTACTGGGATCACAGCTGTAAGCTGAGGCTGCTATGAGAAGTTATTAGTTCCAAACCTCTTGGATGTAGTCACAAACAAATTCTGAGTCTTGGCAGACATTTGCTTGAGTTATTACTCTACAAAAGTCAAAACGTAAATGCAGAACCTGAAAAGGTTGAATAATCTATGTGACTGCATGATTGATAAATAAGGTTCTTGTGATACACAAAAACCCTTTGCCTTGCCCATGCTTTCTATGCTATGTATAGAATAGAACAAAATAGAATATAAAATAAATATTTTTTTGTTCTATAGGGGAGACATTTAAGTATAAGTTAAAGAATGTATTGATCATTGATTCAGCACAGATGAAACCTGTGCTGAATCAGTAATCTGAAAAATTAAAACAAAAATTAAAAGAAAACATGTTTATCTTAGTGTATTGCAGAAGTATTAACTCCCCTACGTGCTTTTCCTAGTTTAACAGCAATCAAACAAGCTACAATTAATTCATGGCATTGACAAGCTGCAAGGAGGTTAGAAATGTAAAGTGCAGATAAATCAATACATTTTCCAGTGTTTTCAGCAATGAAAATAAAAGCAAGTGACATGAACTAATGTTATTTCTTTGCCACCTTTGCACACAAAGAAAATATTTTCTTTTTTGCCATTTTGTTTTTGCAAAGTTGTTTAAACCTGGCATCTATCTATTCAGATTGCAGGGAACATTTCATTTCAATCTGAAAAACTCACACGAAAAGATAAAGACAATTAAAGAGAACTTTATTGACACAATTATTGTAAGACTTTGGCGCTCAGACCTCGGCAGGAATCATTAGCGCTGAATTTTATTTTATTGTGCAGAAGCAGGTGTATGAGAACAGGGATGTTTCCTCACAGGCCTTAAACTGGTGTTGGAGTGAAGGTAGATGATGTTGGTTCAGTCCATAGACTGCTGGTTGGTGAGATGCTGTGCTTGAGCTGAATTGGTGAGATCCTGTAGAATGTGAGCTGATACTAGTGTTTCACTCAGGGACCCAGAAAGACAAATTTTTAGCTTGATAAACACAGGTTTGCATGAGCCTTTCCATGATGAGCAAGCATTAAGCGACAGTGGAGAGGAAAAACTCCCCTTTGGGAAGGAACCTCTGGCAGAACCAGACTCACCAGCCGGACCGGTTGATATGTGGTTGGGAATGCAATAAGAGTCCGGGAGGAATTACACTCTGATAGGGATGAGGTTGAAGAAGCACCATGGAAAAGCCAGATGGAGCCTAGCTATGATGGTGGAGAAGGGGATGGAGGTGGTTGAATCGGGGTAATCAGAGTCAAAATCAGACATAGCACAATCACTGCTTGCGCTTGCCTGGGTAGCAGACTGAGTCGTGGATTTGCAGACCTTTTAAGACGAGCTCTGGATGCTGATTGGGCTTTGTGGAGGTGCGTTTCAATGCTAATTGGTTTGAATTAGAGGCAGATGAGCCTCTGATGATGAGGCTAGTAATTTAGTTTCTTCCGTTGAACTTCCGACTAGGCTTCATTTAGAATAATTCCACAAAGTCTTGATTTTAAAATTATTTTAAATGTTAACATTGAGTTGGACATTCTAATGTGTGAACATTGATCTGAACATATCAATTTTACCAGGAATGTCACTCATTTAGCTCCACCCATCAACCATGATGGTTTGTTCAGGGTGATCTTCTATGCCTCACATAGCATTTATTACATTTTATCTCCTTTGATCAGAGCCACTTCTTCTGCATTTTTTTAATGTATCTGGCTTGTTTTAAACTGCAAAACTGACTTCTAATGAGTTTCTTGGATGGATTTGTTTTTGCAACTCTAGCAAAAGGGCCTGATTTTCATGGTGTGAATCTGTTTTTATCCATGGACTGTCCAGGCTGAGCTGTAAATCTCTGCTGCTCCTCCACATTCGCCATGGTCCATCTTGCTTCTTCTCTAATCAATGCTCTCTTTGCAGGGCCTTGAAAGTTTAGTTTGACAGCCAAGTCTTGGTAGTAATGCAGCTGTAACACCCCCTTCTCTTTTCATATGTTGGACAGAAAACAGCTCTTTACAGTAGTCAAAGCTTGTTTTTCTAAACAGCCAACGCTACTATATAACTTCTGTACAACTTTGTCTCTGAGGTGCCTGCTGTGTTTCTCAGTCTTCACGTTTACATATGTTCTATACAAAAACTCTAAGAACCTCACAAAAAGCCTTGCATTATGCTAGTTTTGAATAACAAAATAGACTCTGGTTATGAAAAAGGTTACTTTAATTTGACAATTTGACTTGCTAGAATTACTTTCCTTCTGTTTAATTATTTTGAATAATTCCATAAAATCATCCAAACCTGAGAGCTCCTGCAGTGGCAAACTGCTGTACCCTAAATACACAAAGCAGCGTCATCAAAGATCCTTCCTCCTAGCAGCTTTATAACCTTCACTGCTCCCACTAAGCTCAGTAAATGTTTACACTCATGTTGATTTTTGCATTGTTGCTTTTTTAGTCATTTTAAATAGCATTCTGTTGTTATTTGTACATCTCTGATGTTGCTACTTTGTTAATTTATCTGACTTCTTTTAAAATGTCCACAGTTGTATATTTTGGTTATTTATTCTTTTTTAGTGTCTGCACTATATATATTCAAACTTCCTTTTGCCCTTACTGTGCAGTTTTTCTATTTTTGACCTTTTTCGCTTTATTCTGTTATTTTTTATACAGTTTATACATGTGTCACAATGTATATAATGCCTGTTGCTTTGCTGCTGTTACAGCATAATTTACCCAGGGACAATAGAAGGATTTTATTTTTTATTCTAAAATTACTTAAAAGCTTTTTCAAAATTAGCTAATCATTAAAAAAAAGTTTATTTTAACTTAAGTATAACCACTTAGGTTTTTGGATTCCGGTCTTTTAACGTCTGACCCTTCATTTGGAAGCAAACATCAGATAAAAGTCTGTCTCTAAATGACATAAATTGAAGGTTACACTAATGGCACATCAGCATCTATGCATCTAATCAGAGGGGTTTAACAATATCATTCTATACCCATACTGATTAGCGAGCCAGTTTAATTATGACTAATAGCTGAAATTAGGTGGAATCAAAGCTGGAAAGGGAAGAGAGCGGTGAAAGACACCTCTCCTCCTCCTCTACCTACTCCTCCTCGTCGCAACACCCCCGAGGCTGAACGATCAGGGCTCTAAATGTGGTACCCAGCTGGAACTGATATGACGACAGGTCTCTGGGTGAGGGTGAGGGGAGGAGAGAGGGCCTGGCGGTTGTCATGGCGATATGAGGTGGCGGCGAGAGCCAGTCGTCCACAGTGTGTGACACGGCACATCTTGCGTGCTGAGCAGATCATTGTCCAGGCTTATCTTGGTTCAGGGTGCTGAGCTACATTGATCAGGGAGGCTGGGACTCACACTGGAGGGCTGCTTCCAACAGAGTGAGTTAGGGAGGGGGAAACGTGCAAATGACTGCGTCAACATCACAAGGAAGCCAAATGCAGGTTATTTGACTTGTTATGCACTAAGCAGTACTACATATATAGCAAAGCCAGGATTTGTACAGGGATGAATCAAACTTAAGTCTGTCCGTTTACCTCATAGTTAATTTCTGCGCTGAATATATGTTTTTGGTCAAAAATTTGGAAAAAAAATAAAATGTTTCTGTTTATTTATAAAATGCAAACATGTTTGTGTTTGGATTATTATCAATACCAGTTATCACACCAGTGGAACCATTTAATCTTTAGGTCCAGATACGTGCTGTGTTGGTGCAGGTGATGTGTTGGTTGATTATGAATTCTGTTTGCACTCATTAGTCAGTTTTTTCCCTGCAAGAAAAATAAAAAGCATGCCTCTTCAAGTCAGACTTCTGCCTGGGAAAATTGGAGATCACCAGGCAGCTCCAAGTTCAATTACAATCCAATTTATTTTGGGTTATTTATGTAGCTGCAGTTTACAACACATATCATCTCAAGCCACTTTACAAGACAGATCCAATTTATATATAGAACTATATATAATCAATTCAATCTAGTCTAAGAGACAGATTTCAGTTCACCTCTAATATTAAGCAATACAGTCAGCATTGGTTTAGAAAACCAATACGCCCACCACCAATACACAACACATATATTAATGAATGTGTTTATAAGACTTGCTTTATTTATCATACAATAAAAGTATAATATGTAGTAAAATGCAAGTGAATCCTGTCATTGAATTTTGCTGTCAGTGGAACTTTTTTCAGGTGAAATTTCTTGTTGTGACAAAGTTCATGACATCAATTTAGGATTTGTTTTGTGCAAACATTACAGTATTGAAATTAAGTTCGTATTGTTATGATAATTTTAGTGAACAGTGGAGTAAACAGTAGCTTCAACGAATATTTATAAGATCGCAGTGCCTTGTTTTATTCTACTCTTTTGAACTTTCAATCTCCCAGAGCAACAAACCTTTTTTTTTTTAAACATATACATGTACATATTATGCACATACTTTGTTTTATTTGTTTAGAACTTATTTAGAAAGAATAATTTGCAATTAAAATCTCATATTTGCAGTTAAATGCGATTTTTCAGAGACATGGCCGATTTAAGTTGACAGTTATCTTTTAATATAACTGTGTATACTTCCAAACTGGAAAAAATATTAACCTAACCTCAACTCTTACAGAAAAAAAACACCAGTGGAAAAATACAATATTCTGGTCAGCAAATATAGGAAGGGTTTGAAATATTAAAAAGAGATCCCTTTTTAATCACACCAAAATAAAAAGGGACATATAATCTTTTCACTTTGTTTAATTATCTTTTTGGAGATGCCTCTCTCATTTATTTTCAATAATAAAATCTTTGGATGAAACAAAATAACTTTAAATCTGCTGGGGAGTAGGAGTGATAACCAATTTTGGAGCAAAAACAGCATTAGAAGCAAAAAACAAAAGTATATGATTAATAAAGAAATGCCAGAAAGCACAAAACAAAATTCTGATAATCCAAGCTAGTTATGAGAAAAGCATCAATAACTGGAGCAGGTCAATATACTTTAGAGCTTGAGGAACATTCAGACTTGAGAATATTTATGCAAAAATGTATTTACATGTTGCCTTCTCTCTTTCTTTTGTTTTCAATCAGCAACATACAGTAAAGAAGGCAGTGTGCACAGAATGTAGCAGAGCTAAATGAGGAACAGAGGCTAATTTGTTATCATTATGTCATCACAACAATGTCTAAAAAAATCTTATATGCATTGAAAGTGAAAGTTTTTTTTTTTTACAGCAATGTATAGTTTGTCACAAACCTCAAATAAAGAAGAATCAAAGGCTAACCAAACTGAGGCTGAGTGGTTTCCCTTTTTTTTTTTTTACATACAAGTAAATCTTTTCTAAAACAATTTGACATCTAACCTTCTAATGAACAGGTGAGAAGAAAAACTTAAATTCACATTCGAACTAAACATCTGTTGCCAACGAACCACTCTGTTGATTAACTCTGAATGATTCATTTTCAAAATTAAAAAGAACACTATATGAAAATCCTGAAAATCAGATCATGGAGTCAGATCGGAACACCAAAGAAACAAATTTAGCATCTGGAGAACGGGGAATCGAGATGATAATGGAAGGATGGGTGTGGGAGGAGTTTGTGAAAAACATGACAGGTCAGAATGTGTAAAAGCTGTGACTAACTGCTTGAGCATCTGTTCTCTCTCATATTTTACAAGTGTGATCAAATACACAAATACACAAAAAAAACTAACCAGTTCGAACGTTGTCCTGTCAGGGAACTGCCTTAACAGCATGTCCATGCAGAGCGCTCTGTAGTTGGGTATATCATGAGTGTACATAGAAACTGTGAACTGGAATCGCTCATGGTCCTCTGGACACCAGCCACACAACCTGAAACAAGTTGAACACAGAAAAGCCGACGCTGCTTCAAACAACAAACTTAACAGTCCTTTAAAGCTACTGTAACAGACAGCAAAATGCACAAAGCAGCTTGGTGCAATCAACCACCTGGGGAGAAAATCGTATCTGAATCATCAGCATGACTTGGAGAAAAGTAACAGCATCTACCACAGACATGCTCCAACTCGTTCTGCAGACTTCAAATTCATTATTTTAACATGTTTACCAAATGAGTTACACTTAAAACAGGATAACTTTGCCAAATTATTTCATATTATTTTGGGAAATCAATATCATATCATTTGCCACTTTGCTAACCTGTCATTTTTTTCCAGCTGCTCCTTCAGACTCTGCAGTCTGACTTTGTACCTCTCTGAAAGGGACTCAAAGGCGTGGATCAGAGAGTCCTTCAGGTCCGGATAAGGGCAGTCAGCATTCAAAAGCTCCTCAGGAATGATTTCTGAGCTCATAACAGTATCCAAAGTACCAAAAAAGTATTTCTAGAAGGGAAAATATAGCCAAAACAAAGTCATTATCTACCACCACATATTTCTCTGATGTTTCAGCAAAATATTAGTGTTTGTTAATTTAGGTAATTCAAATTTAGATGTATTTTTTTATGTAACAAATAAGAGAGCATATGGTATTTGGAGATAAACTTTGAAAAAGCAAACATACAAAAACATCTGACCGCACTAATAGGAAGAACGAACTTTTCAAATACAGACATCATTTTACCATTTCAATTAAATGGAAATGGTCTCTAATTGAGAATCTCTAAAGAAAATAAAACACTAATGAGCAAAAAACACTCTGATGTAGCATGAAGCTGTTATGAATCTGAAACTATTTTTTCTCAAATTTACAGATTAGGTCAAAGGAATAAAATTAATAGTAAATCGTTTTGCCTACAAGTTACTTGCATAAAAAAAATACTGTGAGATTATTATGATATGAGCTCTCTAGTTTTAAAAAGAAATCATAACATGACATTTATTAATTAGGTTAATAAACCTTAATGTCTACGCAAATTAAATGCCTTTCTTTACTCACAAGAACAAAGAAAATATTTAAACTTAATGTCTGACAGGAGGTCCTAACATCAAAACAGCTTAGATAAAACTTACAGATACAAATATTGTTTTAGTAAGAATGTGAAAATGCAACTGTCCATCTCCCATTAAAATGTCCTTTTATGATTTCCAAATTTTCCAGCATTTAATTAATATGGTTAGAAATCATGAAGCTTAAACAGATCAGATAAAGTACACCCTCAGTCTGGAAATTATTTAGTAAGGAAACGGTAGCCCATATGCTGTATATGAAAATTAAGAAAACATTTTTGACTGAAAGACTCTGCTCCAATAATTCGATTTTACAAAAAGTGTAAAAATATCTTAAAACAGAAAGTTTTAATATTCATTTCAAAATGAGACACTGTCTCTGCACATTTTATTTCCAAAAAGGCAAGGTGACCTCTACTTTACTACTCACAACATGATTTATTTTCATCTTAGGGGACCAAACCTGCAGAAAAAAGTTATTCTTGTGCATCATAAACAAAGTTCTTTGCTTTTAAAGTCATGATGACCGTTACTAGAGTCTCAAGCAGCACATTGCTGTGAACTAAGCAGTGGCGGCTGCTGCTCTGTGAAACAGGGGAGGCTCAATGGTGTTAATTACATCTAAACGTCACATATTGCATTAAGAAATGTTGAAACACATAAACCACTTTTCTACAATGGGTGAAAATAGCTGTTGTGAAGCGCTCTGAAATAATAAACCAGAAACAACATCAAGAGAATGACCACTTTTCCCTCTCAAGTCAGGAGGAAAACATCCTCGCTGTCAGTCAAAAAAACGTCAGTAAGTATGTTGGCCAATCAGCATCGAGCAACCAGCTTCACGACCCACCCCAGCTCCATGGACCCCCTAAGAGGTTTAGCCTCACTGATAGTGGCATAGTTTGGCATCTTATCTAATCAGGGCTCTACTTTCTCGCTGCCTACTTCAATAGACGGAGGCTAAAACCTTAACAGGTATTTCTCATAGAGATTCACAGGCAGTGTTCTGCTGCTGCAGAGCGGATGGAAAATCACATCCGAGAGCGGAATAAACAGCGGATTAATGCGCAAAATACTCATGAAATCAGTTGCATTTTAGCACATATTTAATGCAGTATTATTACTACATTTATTAAGTTTTCCAGTGCATATTTTACCATTAATTTTACAATATTTAAATGGGAAAATTAGGCTCTCTAGTATTAGAAATTACCACTAGCACTAAGGTGACTTGACTGTCAGTCTAAGGGAGTTGTCAGTCTGGGTTGAATGGGTCACGATCAACACAGGTTCTCTTTGAATAAGTAAGGCAAGGCAGGGCAAGGCAAATGTATTTGTATAGCACAATTCAGTACAAAGACAATGCAAAGTGCTTTACATGATTAAAATATAGGAAAATAAAACAGATTCAAAGCAATTAGGAAAAAAAAAAAGTAAAATGTTACATTGATACTTAAATTGTTAGAAAACTAGCATCGTTGGATGCAATTACCATATACATTCGGTACGGAAAGTATTCAGACCCCTTTAAATTTTTCACAATCAAAGAAAAGTTCATTTTATTTCTCATTAATATTTAAACAAAGAGTGAAAAATTCAAAGGGGTCTGAATACTTTCCGTACCCAATGTATCTTAATATCCACCTTTATATATATATTCAATTTCATATGGACTTTGGTTGAAAGTGACTTGCCATTCAACAGATGTAAAGTATATACAGTATGAAAAATGATGATCTCCTGAGAAGCAACTGAAGCTAATAGCACAGCAAGTATTAAACATACCTCCAAGCCAAGGTCTGTGATCTGCTGCTCTGTGTGCTGGTACTCTGCATTGAGCTTTGCAATTATGTCCATTTGTTGGTCTCTCACAAAATTGATCTGATAAATAAAAAATGAGAAGCAGAAAACTGTTTTTAACTTTAACTCTATCAAATAATTTGTTTAATAGCAACAATAATTCAAAGGGAGACTTCTGGGTTTAAATTACAGCACATTTGGTCTTGCACTCTGAGAATTTGAAAAACTGATTGAAGGATTCATGGGACCTAATCAGTAGCTGCTTGTCTTCTCAGACAGCTCTGACACTTTATATAAAACTCAAATGGAAACATACATTTAAAACAGAGAAAAAGGAATGGGTTGTATTTCTGTGTTTCCCAAGGCAGAACTCACAAATGAAAAAGTAAATAGCTGTTTTTATTCACACAAACATGAATTGGGTTGGCACTTTTAAGACGACATTCATAAATTGCACTGATTGGCTAAGTTGTTTGGTTGTGGGAGGGAGCACTAAATGGTGCTTTTTATCTCTGACTGTATCAATGCTGAACAAATTGGCAAAACAAAAGAAATGAGTTGCTTCAAATGTCTTCACAGCAGCTGGAGCTCAAGCGGGAAGACTGGCAGTTGGAAGATTTGGAGCTCAGTTCCAGCTGCATCCACACGTCTGAGCATCCCTGAACAAAATATCAAATCCCAAGTCTCCTTAAGGTATAAAAGGATCAATAAGAGCTATGTAAAAGCATTATCTTATCTGATGATTCTTGGTTTGAGTTGACGTGTTGAAATCGGTGCTACTGAATGAAATTTAGCATTTAGGTTAAAGACTCTTTAAAAAGCACCCATACCCCTAATATTTTTATCATAAATGTTACTGTATATAACTGAGAATCTTGGTGTATTTAACAGAATTAAGGCAGTGCATGATAGTGAAATGAAAGGAAAACCCTGCATAGTTTTTTTCCAAATAAAAATCATAAGCATATCAGGTCAGGAAAGCTTTGTAAAGCCAATTTTTGCTGTATTTACAGCTGTATGTCTTTTGAGTTTTGTCTCCATCAGCTTTGCTCATCTAGAAACTGACCAGAAAAAAATTGCAAGAAAAAATTCTGTCAAACTTGATGGAGAGCGAATGGAAACAACAGTTAAAGAATTTGATTTAATTTTGAAAAGTTCTTCATCTAAAAAGTCACCTTATTGCTCTAGCTCTAAAAATTGTTTGGTTACCTTGTAAAAACAAAAACATTTTTCCTTTCACTTTACAATTTTCCATCACTTTATGTTGGTCTATGATAAAACAACTATACATTATTTAGTAGTATAAGTTACTTTAGATGACAGCATCCACATTTATTCTGTTGGAGAAAGATAAATTGCCATATTACTAGAGGCATGTAACTTAAAGGAAAAAATAAAGAACAAGGTAGATCAATGTTTGCTGTTTGTGGAGACTTTTCAAAAGATGAAGAAATAATAAAGAAAAGGTAAAAGAAAACTAAATAAACTTTAATGACTGAATCAAACATGAAAATATTTTTTAGAAAAATCTTTAAAACTGATCATCATTCGTATTGTGTACGTTTTTACTAGTCTCAATATTTGCATGAGTTAAACAATGGTTAAACAATGGAAATGCAAACAGAGTAAGGGCCGGATTTATCAAGATCCAATTTTGCGTGCAGTAATTTGCGCTCGCAAACTGGAATTTTGCGCGAGGGGCTGAACCATGGTTTGCGGGTCATTTAACAAGAGCGATTGCGTAGCTGGTGGCAGGTGCAAAACTGTTGGAGACGCCCTATTTAAATGATGGTTTTGCGCGTTTTGTGGTTTGCGGCAAAGTAGTTTGTAGTCTGTACAAACTAGTGCATTAAGAAATTTAAATCTTACAGTGACCCCCAACAAAAAAAAAAAAAATAAGTAAATATATATATATATATATATATATATATATATATATATATATATATATATATATATATATATATATATATATATATATATATATATATATATATATATATATATATATATATATGTTTATAAATTGGCAACCTTTATTCCCTAAGGTGGTATGTGCTGCAGTAAAAAAAAACAAAACAGGTGTTTTGTATTGGCCTGAGACTGTGGATGAGATCCCCGCAGCATTTGGCACGTTGCTCCACAGGCGCAGGGGGAGAACCCCGACCCCGTCGGACAGCACTTCTGAAAAAACGAGATTGGGAGATCCCAGCTCACGTTGCAACCGTACGCTGGAATGACCCAGATGCAAAAAAGTGCAATGTTGCAAGGAGTTCTGTGATATCTGGTATTGCGTGGGTCCTCCTTGTGGCTGGCTCCAAATCCATTCGGAGTTCCCCCAACAGCTCCAAAATGGCAATGCTGGATAAACGACATGTTTTGATGATCTTTTCTTCGTTCATTGCAAAAATATTCACACGGAGTGAAAAAATGCGTTCTCTGCGTCTCCTTGCTTTATTTCCATGTCTCCTTCTTGCGACAATAACCGCTGCCATGTGTGCGCAATTACGCATACAGACCATTTGCACCTTCTTTTGAAACGTGTTAAATATAGAGTCAGATACCGTTAGCAAAATTGCGTTCAAGTTTGATAAATCACTTTGCGAGTGCTAAATTAATATATTTACATGTTCTCCTCCCACAAGACGCACTTTAGCGTGTAAACGCCCCATATTGCATATTCATTGCAGAAAAAGTACTAAATGGATCAGAGGCGCTATTTAGCACGTTTTAAAGACCAAATGCTTTTAGCACGCTGTTGATAGATCAGTTTGTACATTTTTTAGCGTGCGCAGTGAAATAGCTCACGTTTTAATACACGCAAACCTTTGATAGATCCGGCCCTAAGGGCCGGATTTATCAAGATCCAATTTTGCGTGCAGTAATTTGCGCTCGCAAACTGGAATTTTGCGCGAGGGGCTGAACCATGGTTTGCGGGTGATTTAACAAGAGCGATTGCGTAACTGGTGGCAGGTGCAAAACTGTTGGAGACGCCCTATTTAAATGATGGTTTTGCGCGTTTGGTGGTTTGCGGCATGGCGAGTTTGGACAGCAGAAAGCGCAAAAGGAAATTCGACCCCATGGAAATGGAGGTATTGGTGGATGAAGCCAACAAACATTTAAGTGAACTACAGCAAAAACGTGTGACTGTCACACAGATAAACGCTATATGTGAACAAATCTGTAATAAAGTAAACGCTGTTGGTGAAACCTTGCGAACAGTGGATGAAGTAAAAACAAGATACCAGGATATTAGAAGGCGAACCAAAGAAAAACTGGCATATAACAAAACATCTGCGAACAAAAGAGGAGGGGGCACAGTAGATGAGATGCCTCTGACCAGCATTGAGGAACAAGTACAGCTGACGCTCTGTGAGGAGCAAATCACTGGAATTGCAGCTCCAAAATGGCAATGCTGGATAAACGATATGTTTTGATGATCGTGTCCTCGTTCATTCCAAAGATATTCACACGGAGTGAAAAAATGCGTTGTCTGCGTCTCCTTGCTTCATTTCGATGTCTCCTTCTTGCGACAATAACCGCTGCCATGTGTGCGCAATTACGCATACAGACCATTTGCACCTTCTTTTGAAACGTGTTAAATATAGAGTCAGATACCGTTAGCAAAATTGCGTTCAGGTTTGATAAATCACTTTGCGAGTGCTAAATTAATATATTTACATGTTCTCCTCCCACAAGACGCACTTTAGCGTGTAAACGCCCCATATTGCATATTCATTGCAGAAAAAGTACTAAATGGATAAGAGGCGCTATTTAGCACGTTTTAAAGACCAAATCCTTTTAGCACGCTGTTGATAGATCAGTTTGTACATTTTTTAGCGTGCGCAGTGAAATAGCTCACGTTTTAATACACGCAAACCTTTGATAGATCCGGCCCTAAGTGTACTACTAACAAGCTCCTGATTAAAAAAAAAAAAAAAAATACCAAACTTATTTTGACTATTAAAACCCTAAATGATTCATTTTAACATTTGTATAGATGTATAATTCCAGCAATCCAAAATGTCACGATGAATACCTTCTTAGAAGCATATAATTTATCTTTAAATTTGAGCCTTAAGCAACTAGTTATAGGTCTACTTGCAAAGCGAATTCCTTTTTGTATTTAGAAAACAGGAGTGAAGGTTGTTGTGTTTGTAGGTGAGCAGCCAGCCAGCAAGAGAATATGAGGCCATGGGAAAAAACAAGTAGAAGTGAGCAACACAAAGACAACAAAATGTCTGGCAAATGGTTCAGTTCAAGTGGCCTGCCTTTTAAACTCTCTCTGAATGGTAGCTCTAGAGCCAGCTACAAACTTATTGGAGTCAAACAAATACCTGATTCTGACTTTGGAAAAATGAATAGCTGAAAGAAAAGGGTCTCATACATAATGCACAAGTGCACAAGTTCAACTCAGTTTATGAAAAGCAAGAGTTTAAACTTTAGTAAATGGGCTAAACCAAAATCAAAAGTTGTTCAATTCTATTTGATATCTGCAGAAATTCTTTATCGCACGGATTGAAAATTGTGTTAGTCTTTTATAAATAAGGCAAATGCAGCTTTTTCTTAACTTTGCTGTAGCTAAACTGTAGACATATGATTTTTTCTTTCATATTCCACAAATACCTGTTTTTGTACTTGTTCCCAGTTTGATGGGTGTTTGAGCTGCTGATCGTCCATCTCTCCCAGTCTGGAGCGCAGGTCATCTCTGAGCTGATACACAGGATCAACAGTAGATTTTCTGAATTCCTTCCGTTCCCTTTCAAGAGATTCCCCTGAACATTAAAAGGATATTATTATTATTGCTGGGCGTATTGGTCCTTTACGAAGTTTGAATCTCATATGAGCCGTGGGCTTTTTGTATGTAGACCTATTTCAAACTGGCTGGTTTTCAGGTTAGGCCAAGCTTTTTAGCAGTTTTTCAATTGGGTGAGGCACTGGTGGAACTACACATTTATACAGTTGGTGGCCAGAGGGTGGGCAAAATTCTATAGATGTCCTTATCTTAATAAGCATCGGTTTATCTAGGTTGGTACCTAAAGAACCTGTGTTCTTCTCTGTTGGCTATCATCATGTGCATCTAGCCTGCTCTCAGTTACAGGGGTCCTGTTTTGCAGGTTTATCCTAAATGGGGAAAGATATCATTATTTCAATTATGATATTGTGTAATATGAAGCAGAAAAAACAGCACCTAGGATATATATATATATATTTTGCACAGTAGCTCTGATTTTTTTTAATGCTCTTTTATCTGCAAGCAATTTCCTCTCAAATGTTGCTTTGTATTCACCCCAAGTATTTATGTATTTATTTTGAAACTCTCCATGGTTCTCTTGGTCTGCATTGGTTTTATACTCTTAATTGCGCATCTTTCAATGGTAGGTTTTATCTAGGTGTGATCTGTCAAACAGCTTCGGTTGCTCCTGAAACGTCAGGTCAATTTCCAAAGTTGGCCAATGGTCTCCTGGCCACCAACTACAGTACCTCCACCTCGGGTGTTAAAGCATTCTATAAGGGTTATTTTAACGTGCTTTATCAATTAAAACCACTTCTAATGTGTGCTTGGATCAACCACTTAGTTTAGAGTGGATGATTATTTTACAAAAAAAATGTCTACCGGTAAGTGATTATGCATCCAAGTACTGGTGATCTATGTATAGATTTGAGGAGTTTTGGAAAAATTCTGTTCAGAACTGTATAAAAAAACAAATTGTTAATTTGGTTTACCATATTGTTGAAGTAAGAAGATGTCAGTGTCCGTTATATCCATTGGTTTGATATGATTGAGAAAATGATGGATATTGTCATCTTCTTGCTCTCTGTTTAGTGAGAGAACAAGAGAAATTAGTTCATATCCACAAAACACCAAAAAAATCATTTCAAACAGATACTTAAGAAAAGATGGGAAATTAATAACAAAGCCTTTGTCAACAAATTAATTAATGTATTTATTAATTTTAATGTTTTTATGCTGGCAGCTCTGCAGGAGGAGAGATCACAGCATTGAGGGAATGTCTGTTTCCCAGCCAGCTGCCTGATCACCCTCTCTGATTGGTTGATGTGTCAAGATGCAAAAGTTCAGATTTTGAAATGCTAGGGTCTGGTTTTAACATGCTTTACTCGGGGATAAAACACAGACAGAATATCGGACCGAGACAATTCAAAATGTTAAGAGATTCCCAGATTTGTGATATGCAGTCCTAGCCTTCTACTGAGTAGAAGTTCTAACAGATTACACATGGCAGGATTATCTCCCCGATGATTAGGCCTGTGAGACCCTGATATATGGGCCCCTCATAAGGGGAAGACTAGGGAAGAAACTAGCATGATTTTCTATCCTTTTGAACCCCCTTTAACTCCCAAACAGGGGAAGTGTCTGAGTCCAGGAACAACATGATATCTCTCAGGGTCTTTTGGAAAAAAAAGAAGCTGAATCAGCAAAGTGGATATGATAAAAAATAAAAAAAATAATAAATTGCATAAACTGCATAAATTCCTATAGTAATTTAATTTGTAAATTACCATATTTTTCTTATAGCATGACACTAATCTCTCAACGAATACTTAGAACCTTTGCAAATTTTTCTTCCTATGCTTTTGACAGATTTGGAATAAGTTGCAAACATCCATATTTTCTTGAAGTTGTCCACCTGTGAAAACCACAATGAAACAGCCAGTGATGCAAATTTTAGCTTTTTAGCAACTGGTTGGAGACTTGGTATAGCTGTGTGAAAAAAGACAATGTAACTATAGCAAATAGTGAACCACTTTTCTACCTGACAATATAGCTTTTCACATCCCATGGTATTCTTATTGTTAATGTGTGGAAGGATGCAGGAAGCAGCATATCTATATGCCTCATTACTGAGGCACACTGTTGTGTACATCGTTAACCTTGGTTGGCTCAGACACAGTCATCATACAGCCAAACATGCTGCACCCCAGAGCTAACACTGCCCTTCTCACTTCACAAGGCAGGACATTTCTGGCCCCCTATCCCCCATCGCTGCACCACAGAATGGCAGAACGTTCTCCTAGTCTGACACAACTATTTCTCTCAAATTTCTCCTGGTTACTTCACTACCTCAATTCAACCCCATCAAGAAATCAATTTATTGCTCTCTTTATCTTTTTCCCCCAACCTGTACATTTTTGTTCTTTTTCAGGCTGACTCCGTCAACTCCTATTTTAGACACCACCTCTTTGTCATGTAGATTTCTGCGCAGGTGAAAAGGGGGGGGCTTATGGGGAATGGTTTTCTTTGTGTTAAAAGCTGATTCAAAAAACTGCAGCAGATAATGACAAGCGGTTTTAGCCTGTACTTACTCAGCTTTTTGCAGCCTGGGGCATTCTCTGCTCCACACCTGCCGGTGCTGTCGTAATAAGGAGGTCTCCTTGGTTGCCTTGGCTGCACAGCACGTCTTCAGAACCTATAAGATGAGGTTGATTTTCAAAGAAGAAAAAAAAAAAGGCACTGAAAATGACATTCTTGCTTTTAAAGGTTCATATATTTTAAGCTGAAGAAATATATATTTTGACACTTTGAATGCAGTGCAATTTATGCATTCTCTAAAAGTCAAAAGAGAAACTTTTAGAAGAAAGACTGTTGCAAATTGAGCCCTGAAAAAGGTTCCCCTCATAATAGAAACGGTAAGCCTTTTATATCTAATTACAACAACCTTCTTTCTAGAGACATTTACTGTAGTCTTGATTCGCATCATTGTGTATGTGAGTCTCGTAAGCTGAGGTAATTCAACGGAGACACCAAAATAAACAGTGGAAAATTGAAATAATCAAATAGACAGTTGCACTATATGCATGAGGCATATTATTAGGAGAAAAAGAAGCATACAAAGCCTTAATCTAGTCTCATTTGTTTTGCTTATATTTTGCATGTTCTTCTGAGAACTGTCAGTGAAGCAATTCTTTGTTTTGTTTTTATGCACAGGCTAGTGATTCAGATAATTGTACACAATAAAATTTCACATACAGAGTAAAATAAAAACAAACAGCCAGGGTTGGTTGTGTCAAAGTTCACATACACTCATTGTTGTCATAAATATATCGCAGTGTTTTTATCACCATTACATACTTATTATAATACTTTTGAAATATTCTCTTATCTAGCAATATGATCATACAACGAAATAACTAAGACATTTTAACAACAAGCAATTGTAGCAAAACTTTGGATGCATAGATTGTTTAAGGTATAGTCAGAAAGAAATAGCTTAAGTTTAGCAAGTCTCTATGAAAAACATGATTAAATGTGTGACAAAAACCAAATTCAACATTCCGGGAAAAGAACCTCATGCTAACTGTGAGGCATAGTGTCAACTGTGGGATTGTTCTGGCTGCAGCAGCGCCTGGTCAGCACAGCATCATAAAATCCACCATAAGCTTTACTGTGTGTTATAGAGTACCTGGAAAAAAGTGTTTGAAAAAAATAAAGTGTAGGACGAATTAAACCCTGCGACCTAACAGCTGCAAAAAACACTAGTAAATCCACCATGGACAGACTGAGAATTGTAAAATGGGAAGTCCATGGCATGAGGAAAACTGGACCTTGGTCTTTTAACAATGCTATGGGGTGACTTGAAACAGCATCTGCAGACAAGCAACACCCCAAACATCTGTCTGAATGTGATGAGGAAGGGGAGCTCCCTATGAGGCATGTTAGATTTTGCAAGGTGGCCATAAGAATCACTACATGACATTTTTGTTTAGGTTACCCCCACCCCTGCATCAGCTATTAAATGTTAGGATTTCCTAACTCTTCTCTTTTTTTTTTTTTTTTTGTTTATTTAAGTGCACAAAGTACACTTTAGTTTCTGTTGAAAATATCAACCTATAAAAACTATTAAAAATGCTTTCTATTTTATCATCTGTATCAAAGTGTTTTCTTTGCTGGCCTGATATTCTAAATGTAAGATTTTTTAGTAACATTACTTGGATCATAAAATTAACAGAAAAGTTTTTTATTTGCTGTGTAATTAATATATATGAGATCTAGTGAATTTAGATACTTAAACATAGGAATGTTTCAGTCATATTCTGATAGAGTGAAAATGACTCGCCTGGATTAAACATGTTGATGTGTCTTCTTAAATAGTTTAATATCTAATATTTGAGTCTCCCCTAGACAAAATAGGCCTACATAAAGCAATTAAATTGCATTGTTATTTGTTGTATGATATGTGGTGATATTATTTTTCTGTCCTGAGTAGAGTCAAATATTAACACTTAGAGAAGAGAAAAAAAATGTGCTCGTCTATGGCTCGTAAAAAATCCATAACAGTGTTTATCCTTAGCTTCCTATTAAGAGCATACAACTTACATATAAATCCAGATAGATAAACGTTGATGAGGGGAACGCAAAATGTGTTACCAACAAAACAAAAGATAGTTCTGCTCTGAGGCAAAACATTCCCAAGTTGTTTGATAGACATGAAGCAGTTCATCATTATGTTCATTATGTTATGAACAATGATTTGTAATATTAACTTTTAAATATCAGCTTTCTGAAGTCAATAATTAGGCATCTAATCTAAACTTGTTTGTGTTCTTAGTCTTACATGTAATACAGAGAAAGACACATTCCAAACGCCAGGTGGGCTGTCTCCTCCCAAAAGGTCTCTTTTTTCATTTTTTTTTTATCCCTGCTTAATCTATGCAGGATCTTTGGGGCAAGTGCATATCTGCAGTAAGAAGCATGGGGTCACACAGAGAGAAGATCGTAGCGAAGGCCAAGAACCTGTCAGACGAACTTTATGCAGCATAGATGCTTTCTGACTTATCCTGGAGATGGAGAGTCTGGGATTCCCTGCTGTTATTTAAAGACCAGACTTTGCGTCTATGGTTCCTCCAGTTTTTTTTACCCCAGAAGTAGTCCACAGTACTAACATCTTTTTCTTAAATGACTGAGTCTTCGATTGAGCTAAACTTTAACTCTTTATTTTGAGCCGAGCAAAGAACGAGTTTAGATAAGTTTTTACGTAACATCAAAAATGATGTCTCCTTCAATTTATGAGGGAGAGTAAATAGACCACATAGAACTTATACATAATTACATTATATTCAAAGAAAAAATTAAGATTTTAGGAGAAGCATATGTGTCTAGTTGATTAAAAAGATGATCCTAACACTACTGAAGCTAATACCCCCATGAACTGATCTTGGATAAGCAGAAGAGTATTTTTAGATCTTGGTCTTGTGAGATTATTTGTTTACTTTGTTGTGTGGGAAATCTGAATCTGAAAAATATCAAGGTTTTAGTTTTAACATTTATTACACACTTAATTTTTCTATTGAGCTAACATTTCTATTTTAATAATAAATATTATTCTATGCCTACAGTATGAGGGTAATAGAGCTCACTTTCAAGTTTCTATGTCATTTGAATCTTTTTTATATTCTTTTTATCAGTATTCATTTTTCTAACTAGGTGTTGAAGTTGTATTCTTCCCGTTCCATCCTAGAGATAAAGGTCTATCACTTTATCATGAATTAACAGGTGAAATGGTTCAAGTCACTGTTTGAAAAAATGCTTTTGTTCTATTTCCCATAATCCAACTTCAGACCAAAACAGATATAAACCTAAATCTAAGCCCACTCTATTTTTGTGATGTCAAGAGTTTAGTGTTTTGAAATGTACCCAGTAGTTCCTCATAATGCAAAACATATTCCAAGCTCAAAGCAGCTCAGAAGCTTTTATTCATCGCTCGCCATAAAGAGCGAAGTTGAAAGGGGCTTCTTTTCTTTTCATTTCATGTCAGCAGAGTAACTTAATATGAACATATAGTCAGTCTTATCTTTAATGCACAGAAAGCAGCATAAAAGAAGCCATGGAAATGATGCAGTCCAACTTCTGACAGCTCACTAATTAAAACAAACCAGGTCTAACTACTTAATAACCGCTGACCAATAACTGTTCACTATACTCAGAGACACATGAATAAGAACTTCAAATGGTTTCATTTGAAACAACAAAGAACTAAATTAATATTCACAGCACCTTTATTCTCCATTGCAGGACCCTTAATGCACAAATTTATGTTTGTAATCTAACTGAATGTGCAATGGAGTCAATTTAAAAGAATGTGTTTCACATAGTAAAAATATGCAATTTGGTATTAATGGAGTAATACTGTGTGGTAATCACTCATCAACCTCAGGTTTTTGTCACTTCATGCCCTGCTAAGGATACCGAGTGACTTTACAACAATTTCCTCCTCATTTGCTGCTAAATCACAGCATTGTTAAATATACCTGGGATTAATTTCATGCTGGATTGTTTTTAGGTCATGGATGATCCTTATAACAAAATCTACCTTTTGTTCAATGAGATTGTACTCCAGGCGACTGGCATCCACAAAGGCCTGCAGCGTTTCATATTCAGTCGGTTTGTACCTGGAGCTGCCAGGACTGTTTTCCATCCGCAGTGTCAGTTTTTCTGCATGAATAAAAGCAAATGAAATGGTTGAATTGGAATACTTGAAACACTCCACTCTTTGCTTTATGTCTGAAGGGAAACTTTAATGCCGACTTCAACTGAGAAGATAATATAGAGGCAGGCTGAGGGACTGAGAAACCATATGGATATTTTAGACATTACTGCACAGTGGGGTTAGCAGACAGCAACCTCATACCGTCAGACATATTTTTTCTAAGTGCTTCACTTGCGACTTGGGAAGAAAGGCAAAGGAAGAGAAACAACATAGCCTCTGACAAAAACGTCTTAAATATGGCAGCACCTGGGGCTTTCGACAGGTTTAGTGAGAAAGAGACGTACAGCAGTTCAGTAGGCCAAATTGTCGGAAGTCAGTAACACATCAGACCCTCTTCTTATTAACTCACCAGCATCTTCTGCCCTGTGGCTTGAGAGGAGTCTGGGTAGATTCAGAGCACTCTTGTTCTGCATCGCCTATGCAGTAGATTCCCTTTAAAAAATAGAGTAAAGCATCATTGTTTGAGAAAAAAAAAAATCAGCAAAGACATTTTGCTCAGGCAATAACTTGCATTAATAAAGCAGATAAGCATTGGTTGAAAATACTAAGATAAAGTAACAGAAATAAGTCAAGACAAAAACACAGCAGTATGTGAACCAATGGTGTGGTATTGCAAAGTTCAGAGAGCAAAAACATCAAAGAGGATCAACCAAATATTCTGCATTATTAGAATTTGTTTCATAAACGGAGTGAAACCTCAATAAGTTGTTACTTTCATTCTGATTTTGCAAGGTTTCTATCTTGGTCAGTTGAATAACAACCTGCTGTCCTTTTGTGAATCTCTGATGTTGCTGCTATTTTCAAATATCCATTACTATAAAATGTTCATAGCTGTATATTGGTTATTTATTCTCCAGGTGCACAGTTCTATATTGTTAAAATAGTTTACATTACAGTATTTTATTGTTAATGTTTTAACTCCTCACTATTATGGTATTGTTATACATTTTTAAAAGGTCTACATATATGTGAACATTTTCTATCATCTTTTTGCTGCTTTAAACACCAGAATTTCCCGGTTGTGGGACAATAAAGGGATTTTCTATTCTATTCTACTCTATTCTATGATCCTGGCTTAATTCTGTGGGTCTACAGCACATGCATTTAGTTTGCTTTTCAAAATGAGAGATTTCTTCTCCTCAAATTTACATAAACCCAAACAATTACTGGTGAGCAGAGAGGTCTAAATATATTCCTTTCACTGCAGCATTATTTAGTACAAAAAACAAAAGCAAAGACAAATCCAGATTTTAATCTGGGTGTGGTTATTTATGGTGGCATGCATCCCACATGAAAAAGAAATGCTCCCAATAAAATTGTGTGTTTTAAAGTCATATACTTAGACAGCTTTTATAGTCATTTTGTATACACATAGTGTACACAGTAAATGAGCAGCAGCTTAGCAGTGAATTTTACTGTCTAAAGTCAAAGTCTTTGTGGTGCCATGCTGACTGGATGCATATTACTTCTTACCGATTTAAAAAAGAAATGCTTCCAGAACATAAATGATCCTGTGCAATACTTAAGAGTGGGCATAATAAAATGATTTATCTTAGTCCTGACCAAAGCATTTAGTTTAACATAGCTAAGCAAACTCCATATGTTTACATTGGGCATGGGAAGATATTCCTCCTATGCAACTAGTTGCCAAGTAAACATCATCTATCGCTTTATGGGTGACCCAAGCTGCTCTTTGCTGCAGTTCTACAGTGAGATTTAGAAATATTTTAGCTCCCTTACCAACTTGCTTCTTGTGCAGGGAGCCAAGATAAGCATGGCCTTTCCCTCTGTCTTGTAGTCAGAGGTGAAAACAAACGTGCCGCTGTGTTGTGTCATGTTTATAATGCAAGGAAATAGGAAATGAGACATGAGTAATTAAATGTTACCCTGATCAACTTAAGCAGTAAAGTACTGTTGCCTTTTCGAGATCACATATTGCTTGATGCATGAAAAGATCAGCTGTTCTGTTCTGTTCCAGTGCAAAATCTTGGATCCTTCTTTTTTTTTTTGGCCTGTTATTCAATTTCTTAACTCGGTAATGTTTGTGATCTGTTTAGAATGGGTCCAGTCATCTGACTTTCAGCAGTATTTGATCATCTTGACATGCCTCTTTTGGCCACACACCATTCAGAAGAAAGATCATAACTTTCTAAAAGGTAAACATGAAAATGTATTAAGTAACTAGTTATGCACTTAGGAATTACATTCATTTACAGCTATTATTTTCATAGAGTCCTTAATCTGGGTTGACTTTATTTATGCTTATTTTTTTGTTAATCAGAAAATGTATTCTTTAGAATCAGAAGCATAAATTGAGAGTACAAAAAGAATTAGAATTTGCAAACAGGCTTATTTGTCAGATTAAAAGTACCTTGTCAACTTGCTTTTCATTAAGCCCACATTTATGAATTAATAAATACTTCTTTAATAATCTGGCATAGAATATATATATAGTTTATTAATAATGACACTACATATTTATTTTACTAAATCGTGTTACTGAAATAAGTGAACATTACAATTATGATATAATCTGTTGAAAATAAGAAGAATAAGCAAGATTCTCAATACAGTGTAGTCATTGATTCTTCATATCGAAAGGAGTCATCTGAGGAGGCCACTATTGCCTAAGGAAGTGTCCCAGCCACATCCCAACAAAATGAGGCCAGGGACATAACCTAGGACACCTTGAAGGCAGTGGTGCCACCAGGGGGCGGCTAAGGGTGGCCACTGCCACCCTGTGCAATGCCCTGGCCACCCCACTGGCCAGTGTAAATTGTAGTAGCATGAGTTAAGCATTTCAACCCATTATGCACAACCAGCGACGTAACATTAAAAAACACACACAAATCCAAGATATGAGTTGTGTTTACTTCAGTCTTTAGGATTTCTAAAGGCATGTTTACCACAATAGTAGCTTCAAACCCTGAAATTATGGCTTTTAGTTTCAGTGTGCTACTCAAGATCAGTGGCCCCATCTGGCCACCCCTATGATACATTTCTGGAGATGCCACTGCTTGAAGGGACTCTATCTCTTAGCCAAGCTGGGGCAACTCTGACTTCCCCAAGAGGAGCTGGAGGAGGTATCTATAGAGAAGGAATCTGGGTGTTTCTGTTTACATCACCGCCAGCGTTAGATGACAAGTTGAATATGAGTATAGACCAGAGGTCACAGATTAGCGGACCTCTGTCCGGATCCCGACCTGATTTAAAACATTTATCAATTACCACTTGTTGTCCGAGGACAGTGTCTAACTGCACTTGCGCCACTTCTCCTGTTAATATGGTAAAGCACTCCGGAATGTATGGCACCAGGCTGCAGGTGATATTAATTAGCCAATGAGCTAGCCTGGGTGCCATTCCGAACTTAGTCCCGCCCACAATGCTTGAGGTAGGAAAGTTCGGTCTGGCATTGCTCAGTAGTAGCGCGAGTATGCTCGCACAGTATCTGGCGGGCCAATCAAATTGTCAGGGCGGGTTTTATACGATGATGGACAGATGATCAACAGTAACGTAATCAACCACATGACCAAAGCGCGCATGGGCGACAACAACAATGGCTGCCGCTGGAGAGTTGAGGTGTGTAGATTCTGCTATTAGGTCTGTTCTAGAAGATATCGACAGCAAATTAATTTTAAAAGAGGAACAGAGAAATGCGATCAAGGCTCATCTTCTTATTCTAGGCGTGCAACTGCACGCTTTGATTTTTGTTGACAACAACTGTGCCTGGCTTAACATACGTCACGCACTCTGTTGCTCTTATTGGTTGTAGGTCTATCCAAGTGAGTGCAGAGGCATTTTTTTTCCCGGTTCGTTCGAAACACGCCCCATAATCACAGCTCTATGGAGCAGTATCAGACTCATATTCTGACTAGAATTGAGTAGGACTACGTCAGGCTAGCGTCAGTCAGGGTCGCTGCTGCAAGCCACTTTTAGATACAGCAGTAAACCTGTGGTAAGTAGGGTGGCAGGAAAGAAGGAAAAGACGATGAGAAAAACAAAGCAGAGAAAGTGTGGAGTGCTGGAAGAACTGCGGTGAACTTGTGACACAAAGATGACCCTGCACATTTTGAGTATGTTTGGCTCACCTTACTGCTGTTTAGCAAGATTCTCCCCCATGAACATAACCAAAAAATAAATATGGATCCAGACTCACAAATGAGCACCTTGATATGTGCTTGAGAATGGCTTTGTCGCCATTCAAGCCCAGGTTTAAAGCTTTGCAGGGCAGCCTAAAGCCCACTGCTCTCAATTAGCCATCAAAAAAAAAAAAAAAACAATTTCAGTTCCGCTGTTTTGTAAAGTATGTGAATCAGGGAATTGTCTATATACCAAACTGGACTATTGTTGTTCTCTACTTCAAAAGAATTTTCTTTTAATATTATTTTTTATTATTTAAAAAATTCAATGTATAACATGCATGCATAAAAACCTGCTTTTCATTTCAGTGTAAAATTCAGTTGAAAGTAATGGATTATAATTAAAAATGTCTCCGGACCTTTTCTGATTGAGGATTTTCTTTATTCGGACCCCGCTGATTTTTAACTGGTTACCACTGGTATAACCCATGATCCCATCAACTGTGTTAATGAATGTATAGGTGACTGTGCACATTATGGAAGATAATAAGATAGTTATCACCCAGGACACAATACTGCACCAATAAATACTTCCATCTGCAAACAAAATAAAAATTAATTTTAATATCTGAGCATTTGAACTGCATGGATGATAAACGAATTAGGTTAGATTTCTACACCAGGATAAACAATATATTTAAAATCAGTAAATACTTTGACCATACCATAAAAATTAGCAAATAAGCCTCTGAATCTTTAAAATTAGAGAAACCGAATCTACTAAGTTGAATAAGTTGCCTTTAGAGCTCTTAAAAGTTCAACTCACCACCTTTTCCTCTCTTTACAGTGTATAGGTTGACAAACCGCTGTAACCACGGTAACTATCATCTGTTTCCTTATTGGTCGTTTCAAGCGTCTGAACCTCCTCCGAAACGCCCCCTCGCCTTGTTATAACCAATCAGGAGTGCGCTCCGGCTCATGCATTCCCGCTGACGTCATGCCCGCTCGCTGTGCTTGGGACCGCTGCTGGAAGCTGGGAAGGGGTTGTCTCTTCTTCCCCTCGAGTATGGACACGAGTTCCGTCCTTCCACATGCATGGGAGTAAGAAACCGGACTTTACAGATGAAGTTACGCGTCTCCACGTAGGTCTGAGCCACAGCTCATCCCGGCGCAGACACCGTCCTCACAAGGTATGCTGATTGTTCTCTTTTCGGTCTGTTTTCTGTGGCATTGCGAAGTGCGGAGTAATTTTTTTAGGAGGGGAGAGAGCATCTCTGCTGCGCGGAGAACAAGCAGGACGAAAGTGGCAACTCTGAAAGTCTTGGAGACTTTCAAAGGGGAGCGCTTTATGTGCGTGGAAAAAGACAAGATAAGCTCTTTCAAAGCGTCTTTCCAGCAGGAATCAATCCAATTCTCCGTTAATCCTCTTCTTTGGATCAGTTTCTCGCAGACAGCGCGCACCTTTCATGGAAGACTCTCCACGGTGTTTCCTCAACGTCCTTTTCCCCCCGTTGCTGCAAACACATAACCAAATAGTACAAAAAAGGGAAAAAAACTGTTCCTTTTCCACTATTTAACCCACGTTAAATAATGAGCATGCTCCTATAACCTTGCTTGGGGACAAAAAATAAATAAAAATCAGGTGAGTTTTAAGAGTGTGGGAATCTTTGGAATGCGAGTTTTTTCCCTCCTGCCCCCACTAGATTGACTTCACCTTTTTAGCTCCCACGTTTTACTCCCTACATCCAAACTACGCCATATTTAATTACCCTAATCTGCATTTTTTTAAACCCAGGGGCGTTTCTTCAAGCTTCCGTTGCTGTGCGTTATGCAGAAGCCAAACCTTTCTGTTTCCACCGTGATTGCTTGAGTAAAACAAAAAGTCTAATTACCTATCATAATGTATAGGATAATTGGGTAATTGTCTAAAATCTCATGCAGATTACCCAAGGGTTACTGTCACATCCTTTCCTTTTTGTCACATTTGTATATAGTTAGCATGCTGCAACATTTTAAGATTGTTGCATGCAAAAAACTCTATGCATTAGAATAGAAAATCCCTTTATTGTCCCAATATGGGGAAATTCTGGTGTTTACAGCAGCAAAAAGATTACAGAAAATATTGTCACACAAATGTGGACCTTATAAAAGTGTATAAGAATAACATACTGGTGACGAGTTAAATTATAAAGAATAAAATACTGTACTGTAAAGTGTTTTAACAATATAAAACTGTGCACTGGAGAATAAAATTGTTAATGTGCAGCTATAGACATTGTTACAGTAATGGATATTTGGAAAAAAGCAGCAACATCAGAGATGTGCAAAATGACAGCAGCATGTTATTTAACTGACTAAGATAGAAACTGTGCAAAATCAGCATGAATGTAACAACCTATTGAGGTTGTTGAAAAAGTGGTGGTTATAATGTCTTAGAACTGCTGGGAAGAAGGATCTGTGATGACGCTCCATGGTGCATTTAGGGGCTGCAGTGTGTCACTGAAGGATCTCTACAGTTCTGTAACTTCATGCATGGGGTGGGAAATAATAACAGCTTTTATCCCAATATCAATATGTACCAAATGGAAAATAAATACTTTGAAAAGTTTGTTAGTCAGCTATTGAAAGTGTAACACATTAAAGCTCTTCTTTAGACTAATGGCTACTATCCACCTTCATCCCCATCGCTGATATGGAGCATAGTGACCAACATTAGTAGGGACAGGAGAAATATCATTTTCCAAATTTGCCAGTAGTTGTTTATGTGGCCTAAAAGGTTGAGGTTGTTCTATGTATCTGTCTTAAACAAAAGGGAATTATGCTTGTAATTTATGGAATAAAGAATCCTTTTATTTTCTCTGTCACGCTTATCCCAAGCGGGGTCGTGAGGGGTGCTGGTGCCTATCTCCAGCTATCTACGGGCGAGAGGCGGGGTTCACCCTGGACAGGTAGCCAGTCTGTCAACCCAGAGATGAACAGGACAAACAACCATTCACATACACACTCCCACCTAAGGAGAATTTAGAGAAGCCAATTAACCTTACAGTCATGTTTTTGGACTGTGGGAGGAAGCCGGAGTACCCGGAGAGAACCCTCACATGCACAGAGAGAACATGCAAACTCCATGCAGAAAGACCCTGCGCCGGGAACTGAACCCGGAACCTTCTTGCTGCAAGGAGGCAGTGGTTCCTGCATACACATGTTCGCCGTATCATTAGATGATTTAGCAGGGGCCTTGAGATCACTTTAAGCGTATACATTGATATTCTGTTGTTAATGTTATTTTTGTTTTGTTAATAAAGTCTTCTTTTTTTGTTTAAATTGGATTTTTTTGTAACATTGGTTAGCATTGTGGGATTTGTGTCATGTAAAAGGAGGAAATAGAAGCAATGTCCAATCAATCAGTATCTGGAATCGGTTAAACCGATTTGGCATCAGCCCAAAACAAAAAGATTTTATCGATGGATGTCTAAATCTAACCCGCCGAGGTCTGCCAACACTCCGTTTTAGTGAAAATAAATATGTAATAGGCATATATCTGAAAAAGTAGAGGCATTCATTCAGCCCGCTTACCAGCAGCAACAGGTGGGGGTGGGGTAAAAAAAGAGCTATATTACAGTTAGGGCTCATTGAAAGGACTTTAAACTCCAGGACTGCTATGATGGGATAGTTTTTGTATTTCAGCCTGTACACTTTTTGAAGATTCCTAAACATTCCATAACTCCTCATTTGAACAGAGAGTTATTATTACATGTATATAAAGTTTTTTTAATATTAATTTGTAATTAAGTGAACAAAAGGATTGATTAGGTCGCTATGAAATGTATACTATACAGGCGTACTTGAACAAAATGGCAATGTAACTTTTTCTTCCTCTATTTACATGAAAAACATGAAACATTCATTACAAATGTTACACAAGTCTAATTTAAAAGAAAAAAAATAATATTTATTATAAAACCAAACAAAACATTGACAGCAGATAGAAAATGGAGGAAGCAGGAATGCACCTGATTCACTTGATCTCAAGGCATGGCTGCTGAATGCACTAGTGAATTAGTGAACACGTGCATTTCCCAGCCGATACCAATAGAAGAAAAGAATACGATTATGGGGGAAACCAGCTGTTAGATGGATCAGTCTATCTCTTAATAGGACCTGTGCCTAAATCCTGGTGACGGTTGGTCTAAGATTGTTTTGACATTTGCTGTTAATGGAAAATATTCTTTTAAAAAAGTGAATCAATTGAAGAAATGACACTCACTGATTTAATGAGCATTCCAGAAATAAATGAATAAACCATGCTAGTATGATTGGGGCTGAGTGCAGTAACTTTGCAGTCATTAGATATGCTTTATTTGCATAAAAGCAGTCAGAAAGGAAAACAAAAATGCCATTTTTATAATTACCATAACTATTCATATACAAATGTTTACTTATTTTGAGCTTCAGCTGATTTTTCCTCTGCTTCATGCTCTCGGCGTCTCTCTCTTATTGTCCACCACTCAGTTGAAGGTCTCTAATTTTCCCACCTGCTCTTGATGAGCTTCTCTTCTTATTAACATTATGGGTTTAGTCAAAAAGAAGATCTCACAGCTGTTGGTAGGCAGAGATGGGAAGTAACGAAGTACAAATACTTTGTTACTGTACTCAAGTAGATTTTTCTGATATTTTTACTTTACTTTACTACTTATTTTTATGGCGACTTTTTACTTCTACTCCTTACATTTTTACACAAATATCTGTACTTTCTACTCCTTACATTTTAAAAAATTGGCTCGTTACTTTAGTTTTGAATCATTTCAATGGAGTTACCGTTATTATTTTTCACGTCATCAATACCAAATTCAATCTAATTGGATGGGAATCTACGTTGCATTTGACGCACCACTACAAGATGAATCGACAGATTCGGCGGTATTTATTCTCGGCAAATCATTGCAGCTTGGTGTCGGTGGCGTTAGCATAGTAGCATGGCATAAAAAAGTGGTTTCTACTTTTACTTTTATACTTTAAGTAAATTTACAAGCCTGTACTTTATTACTTTTACTTGAGTAAAGAAGTTTAATCAGTACTTCCACTTTTACCAGAGTATTTTTTAACACAAGTATCTGTACTTTTACTCAAGTACGGAAAGTGAGTACTTTTGCCATCTCTGTTGGTAGGAGAGAAGTGAAAAGTATAAGCTCAATAGAAGATAAGCTTTTTTGCTGCCATCAAATGGCTTCCGTCAGCATATTTAAAAATGAATATATTTTTTATTGAAACAGCTATATCTAGTATACTAGATATAGCTAATCATTTTAGTAATGATTCTGGCTCCGTATCTCTTTCTGCAGAAGTGGACAGGTTACATGCATGCCTGGGCAATGAGGATCTGTGTAGGTGGGTTTTATGTGGAAGTCCAGATGCTTTGCTGCGTCTTGCAGTCATCCTTATTTTCTCTCACACCATTAGACCCAAGCACAGATTCCCAAATGAAACCCTCCCCTCGTGATTCACATTACTGCACAACTTACACACAACCTCACAGCTGACAACTATCAGGGGTGATTTTCTTTGGAAATGAGAGAAAGACAGAGTCAGGCTTTTCCACGTTCTGGTGTTGTTGTTTTGCAGTGTTTTTATTTTGATATTTAAACAGAAAGACTTAGTTTGGCCCAATAGATGTACATTATTCAATTTTTCTTGACAAAAGTTTAAATTTGTTTACAGAGCAATGCTGACTGCATTATTGACATGTTTCAAAAACTATTCTTTGTATGAAGTGCAATCCTATCTTGCAACAGAAAGAACCGAAACTGTACCAAAGGTTGCTGGTGTGACTATTTAAGCCAGACTTCATGGTGAGTTCATTTAAATGGAAGCTGACAAGAGCTGAATAGCTTGGTAGTCTTTGGCAAGTCCGTGCTCCTTATGCTATTTAACCCCCACCCCACCCTCAATCCCCGATTCTGGAAAAACATCAAGGCTTTATCCTTTGCCCCCACATTGCGTGTCAGATTTCCTTTTTTAAAGCTACAATCAAAAAGAGCCCCCCTCCCTGTATCCCCCCATTTTTTTGGAAAGGGAAAGTATTTTCACTCTCTGCCTCATAGCCTGTAAGCTTTGGAAACAAAATGGTGAGTTTCCATTGTGTCTTTGCTAAAGAGCTGGAGTATGAACCATTTTTTCTCACTTAGCCAGTCTGGAGAAATTCAATGCCTATCATGTACAATTCAGTCAGTTATGGACTGTACAAACTCCTTTAATTGATCTTTTGTTCTTAACAAATGTCAATAAATCTATTAAAATACCATGCAGCTAAAGTGTATTATGTTTCTGAATAAATAAGAACACATCAAAGTTCTTTTATTTTTTTAGTTAACCAATAAAACATATTTTAAAGATACATTACACAGTTATAACCAGTGAAATGTCATAATCGCAAGTGCATTTTTTGGTGGTATTTTGACCACCAGATTGACCTATAGGGTGGCCGCATGCCACTGTGCCCATGATGCATTCCCTTCTC